CCCCCCCCGATATAATCTCGCCAAAATTGCCTCGTGGAAGCCGTCGATAAGTCTTCTTCCCATTCGCTTTCTCCCAAGGTTCCAAAGTTTTTCTTAACCACCCGAGAATCGCCTAAATGGCTCTAATCAACCTCCAGGAACCCAGAGACATCAAAATAACGCAATGCAAACAAGGTAAGCCATTTTATTCAAATTATTTTCTACACGTAACATTAAGAGCAATTTCCGGAGTATTCTAATACATTGTCTTATAAATGGCTAAAATTATAACGCAATTGCCTACGGCATAATGTCACGTATTAATCTTATTCAACGTCTGGGCTGCCTGTGGGATAACTAAGTATTATTTACCAGGTAGTGGCGTAAATGTTGTACAGCCATCATATAACAGCCTTGTCACGCGCAACTCACATGTCGAACCAGTTACCAGCTATCACCAAATCCTCGACCACCTTGGCACAATTTTGTTCTCGTTTGAATGGTGTGGAGTTTACAGGGTGCCAGTGTAGGAACTGTATTTTCTAGCTCAAATTTTTAATATAAGGACTAGTTGATCTTAAGAATAGTTTTATTAAATCTGATTTTATCATAGTAAATATTGTAATTGTAAGTAGTAATGTTATTGTAAATAGTTATCCTCTTACGAATATTTTATATTTAAATTCTGAATTTATCTTAGCAAATATAGTAATTGTAAGTAGTAACGTTATTGTAAAAAAATAATAATAATAACGAATCTTTAGACAGGATTAACCCATCAGTACTATAAAGTACTGTTATCAAAGGGGTCCTGTAAGATTTAAAAATTTAAAAATTTAGAAAGGTAAAAAGGCGGGCAGTTAGTCATACTCTTAGGAATATTTTATATTTAAATTCTGAATTTATCTTAACGAATATAGTAATTGTAAGTTAGAATGCTATTTTAAGTTAGAGTGTTATTTTAAATAGTCGTGCGTTTTTGTCATGAGCCCCTGGCTCGGGAGATTGGGCAACCACTCCCCACGTTTATGACTTAAAATAAAGTTATCCTTATCCTTATCCTTAGTAGTTACAATATGGTAAATGAGATGCCGCTGTATTGTAAATATAATTGCTGATTTGTGAGTAATTGAAACTTATTGCTTCAGCTTATAACTAAAAGGATTAATAGGCCTTGATAAATGTATCCCAAACCAAACTTAAAAAAAAA